CACCACATTGTGTTTATGTGAAATTCTAGATATCTATTCAATCCATTAGAGTCTAACGATCGAATCAACATACGCTGTCAATTGATGATAATATCTGTTAGTTCTTACTATATACTGCAACTAATATAGCAATACATTTGACATTTAAAGAATAGAGGAATAGAAATTTAACAAAAATAAAACATAGGTAGGTACCTACTTCTATACACTACCTTTGTCGTTGAAGCAAATTGATCATTATTCATTAAATAAATAAATAAATGTCCTTTAAGGCGTTTACAGATCCCAGATAGTTAAATATTTCGAAAATTTTGTCATATGTGGAAAATGGCAATTTTAAACTTCAAATACTTTTTAATTACACAAAAAAATATACGTCAAAAATTAATTTTGCGTATAAAAATTTCTCATTTTTTTTTTTGTATTTTCTCGACGTTAAAGAAACTTCTGGACTTACCTCTTGAATGCACCAACTAGATTCACTTGATCATCGAAGCGATTCTACGCTCAGAAATCAGAATTTATAAAATTAATTAATTAAACTATACTGCGGCTATTATAGTAAATAATAAAAATAGTAATAATTTAAATCAATTTCAAATTAAATAATTATTTTATAATTATATGAAAATATCTAATAGTATATTACAATTTACAACAGATTTATAAAAAACTTAAGGTGTCTATGTCTTGGTCTATAATTTCAAAACAGCTCTGTAGAGTTATTGTATATTTCCTTCGGGTAAACATAATGTTGACCCGGGAGAGTTGACCACTACAGAGGGGATTTAAGTAAGTATATAAAGTTAGAGGAAATGGAGATTTTATTTTGGTCAACGAACCCAAAAGAAAATCGTAATACACCACGAATTGTAAAGATGATCGTGCTGCAGTGTGAAATTGTGAATCGTCTATAATTATACACCTAGTTATCAGTGTACGAGACGAGACGAAAAAAAGAATTATATTTATTATTTATATACATAAGGATATAGGCGTATTGACCCAAATACTTTTATCCTTCTGTAAATAAACTATTAAGCTATCGTCCGAACCACGACAAGATTAATGATGACGTTTAATGTGTATTGTGTATTTGTGTATAATACATTAATACCACCAGACACGGCGCGTCTTCGAATCGCGTTAAACTACTACCTTGGTATATGGGTTATGACTTTATGAGTAGCCGTACTACCAGCGTCCAGCAGTATACTTATAATTTAATGACGTGCGGCGAATGGCGATGTTATACGTTGTAAAATATATTTATATATTTGTGATTTGTACCATCTAAAATATGATGGACAATTTCACCGAAATTCACCTTTACTCGAGTATGAACCTATATAAATAACTGTGGCCACCTGTCCACTCAAACCGTCCGAAATTTAAGTGCCCAATTTTCTTCGCTCGTAATTCGTATCCGTACATATTTTATGGTAGTCGTCTAACGTTTTTGGCGCTTTTAACGAAGAGCAACAGACATCCGTTTATGGAGTGACGGTAAAATATTTATATTGTAGGTACCACGGGTGGACATGGACCATCAGATGCTGAGATGCACCTAAAACAAAATTAGTATTTTATAGGGTCAGTATACCAATTTCAGTTTTTAATTTTACAGTCAATATATAGTTTTTTTTTTTTAAAGACAAAAACATTTTTATTGATTTGCTGCCAATATTCTATAATTATTATACCCATAATTTTATGAAATATCGTTATTTCATTATTAATAATAATAATTTACTATCAATGAACTAAACTACTAAAGTATGAATTTGAGCGATAGATGAAAACAAATTTTTTTAACAACTATATAAGGCTTAATAGAATTTAGTGGATCGTGGATGTGCCCAGTTAAATTGTCAAACAAAATATTTTTATTAAAACTGAAAATAGTGATTTGTTTATAAAGGTACTATGAATAAATTGTATTAATTTTTATAAAAATATTTTGTAATATAGAATAATTATCATAGAGATCTATTTAATTGTAAGTACATATTAATTTATAATAGATCATATATTACGTATAATTGACCAATGACTCTCGTGTTCACTGTAGTTCAATAAAAACATTGTTATTTGGCACAAATGCTCAATACTGGTATATCGACCCAAAAATCCAACCTCAATAATTGGTATAGGAAAAAGTTATTTTAAGTTAATTTACTTGACTCCACAGTCTAGGTAATTATACAAACAAATATATAAAAAATATTATTGTGCATCGATCGAGGTAACATAATATACACCATTGCTTTTCCTGTAACCTACCTGCTATCACATAATAATATGTAATATCATTATGTATTAAACTTTCTAGTTGAATAATTTCGTTCTATGACGGATCAACATCCAACAATCAATTGGCCCCAAGTACTCCCACTTCATCTTTACATTTTATGCATGATTTTCATTTGTTTATCAATTATCGAGAATCTTGGGTCTCATTCAGAGGCATTCTTTCGGCGAGTGAGACAAGAATATTTCAGTTGCATACTTGCATCACTCACATAAGCGTACGTAGGTCCTTTGACAATTATTGAGTCAAGACTGTAGCTGAGAAGGTGTCCAAGCGTCTGGACTCCACTTCTTCCATGGGTGTAGTATTGTAGTTAAATTAAACCATAATATATCGATCTATACGGATTATACAGTTAGTCTAAGCACACAAATACCACATCAGTTTTCAATAACGAGTACCTATTTTTTAATAATAATAATGTCTTCAAAAAACAACTAAAAAGAAAATATAATTTAAATAACTATACATTTTAAAATAATACATTTTTCTGACGTTCCATGCATTCTTTGACCGTAGGGTTTTAATATTTTAAAAACTTCTGGGAATTCTTTATAGCGAACACTATTTGCTTGATCCTGTTCAATATATTTAGGAGTCCATCTAATCTTCCTTGACCCCTAGAAGTTCGCAAATTTGTTTTAACAATATTTAGTTTTGAGAAGGATGTTTCTCAATAGTGCGGCTTGTTAATTATATATATAGTACAACAGTAACAAATAACTTTAAAGCTATTGACACTTGGGAAAATATTCTGTCCATCATAACAAGTGAACCACTTAATTCGTTCTTCACATTTATTGTTCTTTTTACCATAATAATTAAAATGTAGGTAAATCAGCTTAAAACTTTTCGTATTACCTATGTATTTTATAAGCTAGTAAGTAGCTTTGTCCATTTTGAAAGTTTTAAATCAAATCTTGGTTAGTCTTAGATTGTATCAGTATTATCGGTGATGTAAGAAAGTCACCCTGTAACCTAAAGTTAATATGTGTATGTGTCGAGAGAGTGTGAATGAATGACACATAAATTACAATATTATACGTATTACATTGGTCTATAATAGTCGAAAACTAAAGCGTAAATTAAGAGGTATGTGATGGGTATGCTCCCGAACCGTGTATACACATGTCATATAATATGAATGACAAAGTCGTTGTCCTCGCTCTTCTCTTCTCCATCATTATCTCTAAAAAACCTGCAACTCTGTCCGGGAGGCGGTTATTCGTGTAGAAGTTACAAGTCTGTTATTACATGTCTATACTATCTATACACCGCACATAACGTACGATAGGTAGGTACATATCATATATGTATTATATTGTAGTAGTAGTACCACAGTACATATTTTTATGTTATTTACCGCATGTCCACATGATATTTTTAATTATTAATTTATTATAAATTATAATATACATTTCTGCCCCAATAGTGTAATTTTTACATAGATAAGCATAAGATAGTCCACCAAGTACCAACTATGAAAAAATTCGGTCCGGGAATACTATTTGACCAACCTTTAAATTTGTTTTGTCATGGATACGGGATGCCTATACATATATATATACGTATATTTAGTGATTTTTTAAGGGTAAAATGCAATAAATTCATGCTTATTTTGTTTTGTTGAACATGTTTCCATAAAATTAGTAATGGCTAAACCACTAAACAAAAACTCATAATTTGCACTAAATCAAAAGAGAATATAATAAGTACCTAGATATTTAAAAAAAATATTCATGGTTTTTCATCTAATAAATCTCTTTTTTTTAAACAATGTCTTCAACATCAATATTGTTCAGTATATTTTTCTCTGCAGCCACAAAGCAGGAGTGCCACTAATTATTAATTATAATCAATAACAGCCCGCTGTCCTGCAGTGTCCAACCGGAAAAAGTACTGATATTCCGCCACCGGGATGGGGTAGATCCCCCATCTAATTTAAAAAGTAGCTCGGTGGTCTCGTTATATTGAGACTGGTGAGTTATGGAATTAGAGTATCTTGATTTATTTAAGCTTCATATTGTTATAGGAATACATTTTTTGCTGTTTATAAAATAAATAATTTGGTATTTCTATATGGAGGTTTTGAATGTTTCAACCAATTGCAGTTGAAGAGCATATAGATACCCCATGTCAACTATTTGTCAGAGACGAAAAAGTTAGAAGAGTAGGGAAAACTCTGATTAAGGCCGGTTAAAATTCCCTCCTCCCTTCCGAAAACATCAGAAAAACACAACCATTGTGTGTTGTAATGACTTATGGTTATCCTATGCAGCAGTAATAATCATCGATCTTGTAGCAGTGGCTACCGATTTATAGATTATACTTTATACAGTAGTCAACATGACAACATGTATAATATAGTGTACTGTGTAACCTACTTAATATAAGCATTACAATTTCTCGGCTACGTTTAAAGGCCTAGTTATCTATGTAAATTGTAAATATACAAATTACAAGCATATAAATATATAATAAATGGTCGAAAATAATAAATAACTGAGAAAAACAAACAAAAATCCATTAATTCCGGTGCCGCGCCAGCGAGAAGCATTCAACATACTAAAGTACTATAAAAATACTGATACGAATTTTGATTAAAGTCAACCAGATGGCGCTGTCGCGGCCACCGCCGACGGGGTCCATCGCGACTGAGCGCGTCTCTGATATACACAGAACGGTCGTCGGCCACCATCACAATCTGCCGATTACCCCGACCCCGCACTGGGCCTGCAGTCTCGCGTAGTCAGTCGCAGTGTCGTAGTGTGCGTGGAATTGTTGTTGTCATTTTCCGACCCGTTGCCGGTTTTCCTCAGTTTTCGTTTCGACTCTGCTTGTCTTATGCGTTTTTCGCGCACCCCCTCGACGCACGGCCAATCGATAATTCGCTGTTTAATGTATTCGATGATGTGAAGAGGCCTCAAGACGGAACTCTGTGAGGTCCAACAAAGCAAAAATTCGTTTCGGTATGTACGAAAATAAAATTATTTATAATAATATACCTTATCTAACATCCAGTGTGCCTGTGTGACGTGGGTATACCGAAAAGTATGTTCGAAAGTTTTTTTTTGTCAATTTTTTGGATTCAAGCGGTCACCGGACGGGGTTCAATTATAAAATAATATTTTGGCAGTATACAGGAGATTTTTTTAACACCATTGGACCCTCCTTTTTTAAAAAAGATATTAACTTTACCATGAATTTTCTTTTTTAAAATATATGACACTTGCAATTCCAACAATTTTATGCTGTTGGTAATATTTTTTGTCAACTTTTTGATGCATAAATGCGATATGTACTTTTTAAAGTTATACTTTTTTATTTCTAACCATTTTTCTACTTAACAAAAAACAGAAGTAAAATAGTGAAGTACCCCTAACAGTTTGTCAGGTACTTTTGCTTTCATATGAGCTTCTATTTGTTTTATCATTGGTCAAAACAAATTGATATTTATACTACCTAACACGACTATTTGAAAGAAGGTATATTATAGAATTAATAGTATATTATGTTACCATTTAAACATCAAAAATGTTCTGTTTTTTCACCAACAATCAATGATTGTTTAAACAAAAAATGAATATACCTAAGTACATCAAGAAATTATAAGTGTTGATTGTCTAGTTCATTGTTACCTACAAATTTTTTGTAGTACGCTTATGCTGCAACTACTCCTCCAAGTAGTGTGTTAGGTACTTCTAACGCTATTGTTTAAAGGTAGCTCACTACTTATTCACTACATTTTTATTCAAATTTTTTTATTGAAAATTGGTAGTTTGTAGTTTTCACTAATTTGTCATTTATTCACTGGAAGCTGGAAGGGATTTGACTTTGTGGTCTAATCCATGATAGTGGATAGTGAAAAAATTCACTAATACACTCATTATTATAATATTTTAATTATCACCAAATAATTTGTAGGTAGCAATCAAATAAAGATGATTTTTGCTAAGCTAACTGTAAATTAGCTCAGTATAGTATCTTGCTGTATAAGGAGCATTATGGCGACCCCACGTTAATCACTACGAATAAAGTAGCGCCTTTACAATTAGCGCTCTTCTCACGACCAAGATATATATCTATATAGTTTATATTTCAAATAGTTTTATGTTTACTATACAATTATTGAATTGCAATACTATGTAGTCAATTGTGTTGGTAATATGCCTGCAGACTGCTGCCCATCTAAAGTATTGTAGAGTGATCAAGGACTGATCAGATGGCAATATAATGCACATTATAAGTGAGATCTAATCATAGTCCTATTATTGGTATTATCCAATGTTATTAAGATTAGGTGAACTGTTGTCTCCATAATATCATGGCTATCTAATCTGTTAACCATGATGTGTCAAACATTTTGTTGTAAATAGTACTAAATTCTCTTAAGTACTTCTTGCCCGTTAAATATCTTATTTTTTACTTTATATTCATTAACAGTTCTATTAAGTTTACACAATGTTGAATGCCTAATATTTCCCAAATATAATTAAATATATTTATTGCTGATATCAATTTAATAAAATTATGTGTCGACCGTGGTTAGTTTATTTATAGTTTATTCCATGTCCGCATCATCACAAAAACCTAATTATTCAAATATCTTTTTGTATTTGAACTTTCTTTTAAAAAAATAAAATTATTCCATTCAAAGTTCAACCAAAATGTTTCAATGAGGAGTGTTTGATACAAATGTGTAATTTCTTATGTTCTTCTATTTAATTCTCTGTTTTATTCTATTTGGTATGTGTACCTATTATAAGGTGAATTATGAGAATATTACAACGGGTGGCTGTACATATACGTAACTACATGAGTAAAGCATTTAAATTTTAAATGGAGAATGCTTAGAATTATCAAACTTTATTTCCTCAAAATAGTCACTCTAAATGTATTCCATTTCATTGCTTCAATTCACTACACAAAATAGTATATGGTATGGCCCCTCAGAAAATCAGCTCAGTAGATGTAAAATTAATTTTATATGATACATGGGCAGTCACATATTTACATTATTATACACTGATTTTTTGGTTCATTAGAAAAATCCCAATGGTTGCAATGGCACCCACTGGCCCCTCTCTGCGGGTGCCCCTGTCTCCATATATTATTTACTCTATAGTCTATGGAATATTATTTATATATTTGATACTAGGTACCTCTGATATTAGTCATTGTGATAATGTCAAATTATTAACTTTATTTGTATTCATTTATTATTAAGTGTAAAATGTATGATAATAGTAGGTACCTAAAGTAGTTATAACTTAACCAAACTGATACACATCCGCCACATATTCCTTTTCGCCTTCCTTAACACAACCTTGTTTTCAATAAATGAATGAAATAAATGAAGGTAAATTGTTAAAAATCATTGAGCACCCACTGTAATTTTAGCAGTTTTCAAATTATTGTTGCATAGTAAATTACACATTTACACCCAATACTTACTTAAAATAAGTAATTTATAGTTTTTACATTTTTATCAATAGGCAACTACGCAAGTAAAGCAAGCCATTTTTTAGAAACTTGATATGCTTTTATAAATGAGTAAATATTTGAAGTTATTTATTGCTTAGAAAATAATTATATCATTATGAACTAAATTACCTAAGTACTTATACAAAATAGGTAAGTATGCATTTATTTCTTTTTTATAGATAATATAGGAAGGTCTAGATATTTAATTGAATTATTATAGTGGTTACTCACTTTGACAAGTATCAAGTGTTAGTATTTATACCACAATGTATACAATGTGTGGTAATTGTTATAAGTTATAAGTATGTTTTCAATGATTTAAATGTTATAATGGACTGATTTGTTCAACTATAGTAGCTGCTATTGTCTATCGACTAAGGTATTCAAATTAATTTTAATAATTATGATAGTGGGTATATTTTTCTTGAGTGCAGTTTATGTGATTTAAATTACTTGTGCAGTTACTTATTAATTACTAATACCGTACACGAGAAGAAGAAAATTATTAACAAATATTTATGTGTAGGGAACTAAGAACTTTTAATATTTAAATACTGCAGGTTTAGTGGAATGTAAAGTAGGTACTTGAAATAATATTAAGACAGTAAAACAAATTGGGATTTATTAAGTTCAATAAAATATGTGAATAAATAGATGTTACCCAAAGTGTTACATTATCATTTCTATTATAGGTGCATTTTAACATTTATATTTTATACTGTATGGTCTGTATACAGTATTAACTATCTATATGATATTGGTACGGTAATTAACAAATAGGTCTACAAGACTGCACGTTAAAATATATATTAGAGATTTCAATATTTTCGAACATAATATAATACCTATTATTTTATTTTTTTTGTAGGAGGGAAGGTGATTATTTCCAATTTTTTTTAGTTAATGCTTTATGCAAATATATAAATAAAAGATGGTAAAATTATTAATTATTAAAAAAAGAATGATGAACCAGATTCATTGTAAAATGTTTTGTTAATATTATTATATTAATATGTGTATTTTTATAGTTATACTCTTGATTATACTCAAGGATGTACTTATGTCTGGTTACCTAAACAATCAATAAACATATTACAATGCATCAATAGTGAGATAGTTCTGGAACTTATTGTCATTTGAATATGATTGGTCCATTAAATTTATCAATTATTTATTCGACCCGGTATTAATATTTAATTCATATAACAAACTTAAAACTATAGATTTGGTTTGGGGGAGGGGGGAGATAAACATCGATTGAATACAAATAAATTTCCCAGTAACTATTCTCATTTTCCGCCAAGATTCGACCCAGTTTTGGTTTTGTAGATGGAAAAAACTAGTCCCGACTGTACTAATTTATGTCTCCGTGTAGTAATGTTTGTGGCATTCCCAGTATTATCCATTAGAACTGGTTAACGTTATTAACAATCGTTTTTATTGAGACATAATGCACAATGATTGGTTTGCCTTAGCTATATGTTTGACCCGTTCAAATGATATGGCCTTGACCGCCTAGGTCATGGAGCTAAAATAAGTAGTTTTTGTGGCATGACCGATTTTGTTTTTACATTTTCAATTCTTTTAATCATACATACAATATACGTCTTCCTATACTAGGTATAAATAGCAACCTTGATAGAATGTGTTCCTGATATCAGATATGTTGTGACAATTGTATGTGGTATTTAAAATAAAATTTTATTTTTGAATAAACGGTGTATAAATGTTGATTTTTTTGTTAAAGAATAAATTAACATACTAGCCCAAGTTGTTATGATATTATGCTATTTATTATAATGTATTATAATTAGGCAGATACCTATAGGTACACACTATATCATTTTATTTTTATGTTATTATGGAAAGATCTTATCTAATATTGTATTCCAGAACAATATGCAGTTTTTATTTTGGTAATGTTTTACTAATGCCTAATACTGATTGTTAGTCACATTTATTTCAGTAAATAGTTATCAGTTATCACGATTTGCGGTTGGATTTTGTTTACCTATTAAGTTCGATAAAATCTATGAGATTATTTTTAACTGAATTCGAAGTCTAAGATAGGTACCTATAACAAGCTTAACATATTTATACAAACGTACCCTTAGGTCTTAATATTATATTCTTTAATATATCCAAGCAATTTAAGTTTAATAATTATTTAATTATTTATTATTTTCATGCAGTACTTTAATTTTTATAAAAAGGCTTATTTTAATCGGTAATAAATGATTTGTTGGCTTGTTGCCCATGTAAATAGTAATTGTGGTGCAATCCACTTTGTCCTGGATTCCTGGATAGTTTCACCGCCCCCCCCCTAAAAAAATACAATTAAATACAAAATTCAATCAAATGTCCTCTCTTAATATAAGTGCGCGAAGTGAGATGAACAGCAAAATACGAAGCAAAGGATATCCGAGGTTTGTAGTCTGTACTAATCTACACTTCTACCAAAACCTCTATGCGTAAAAAAGGTGTT